GCGCCAATGGCCTGACGATTGTTTTTACACATTTCTGTGTGATTTAATCCTTGTTTAATATTGACCAAGCACCATTTCATTCAAATGTCCACTTAATCTTTAATATTTGGCCATTTCTTTACGACAGAAATGCTATAGCCACTGTAATTAAATGAATATGTGGACATCAAAGTGAGGGTTTGAGCTTTTATTTTGAAACCGCGAGATACTGTCAAACTGGAAAAAGAGGAGCGAAATGAGGGAGAAAAAAAGAAGGATGGGGAGATCTCTGATGCTGCTGAACAGAAAGAGAAGAAAAGGTTGAAGTAAAAAAATTTTTAAATGTTAATCTGACTTGGAATAGTTTACTTAAAAAAATATAATTGTTTGTTTTGAAAGGGCACAATTTTTTTTCTTTGACTCCATTTGAATGATCTTTATTGTGTTGACAGTGAAAAGGGGGTGGATTCTGCAGTCCAGAGCCAGTATGATCCCTCCAGAGCACATTACCATCCCGTTGACCACGCCTGCTGGAGGAAGGGCCAAAAGTAAATTTTGCATTTGATTAGTTATATAACGGTGTGCTGCAGAAATGAGTCCAAAAAAATAAACAGAGCTACAGTAGCATTTTTGCTACTGTTATACTCACTAGTCTGGTTGTGTTTATTCTCGTGTTCTTTCAAACTATTCTAACTCAAACTTTCCAGCTTGTAGACTTTAAATTAACATTGAAAGATTTGTTGGAAGCTTAGTGGATATGACAAAGTAGCGTGTGCATGCTGTCATTGCTTTTGTAGCTTTTTACTTGTTTTGATTGTATTTAGGCTTCAAATTAATTATAAGTTGTTCATTTGTGTAGATTATATTTATGAACAGAATGTGTAAGAATCAACTTTGCTAGCTATTTTCTGCAATAATGCAAAAGCCAATGGAAAATCCTATTGGCTCCTCTGCCAAGGGAACCAGGGTGATGCTAACTTATGAATTGACTTGCAAAAATGTGTCATCTCTGCAAGACCTTAATATCATTGTTATAAGGTCAAGAAAGTTAAATGGAAATGATTAATCCACTAAAGTTATAGTAATTTTCCCCCAAGGCATTAACAAAAAGCTTAATACAATTACAAAATACATTTTTCTTTCTTAAGCAATAAAGTTTGATTAACACTTTTTCTATGGAAGTTCATTGTTGTATGTTTTTTTTATCTCTTTCTCAGAGTGCCATATTTGGCTGTCGCTCGCAGTTTTGAGAAGATTGAAGAGGATTCAGGCAGGTATGAAGTAGAATTATTTTGTATGAACTGTATGTGTTTTCTCTTACATCTATTAGAGTTTAAAAATAGGTGTGTGGAGCAAATTTCAATCTTATTTTTTCTTTTTTTAGGCTGAAGAACATTGAAACGCTTTCCAACTTTCTGCGATCTGTAATTCTGCTTTCTCCAGGTGAGTGTGTATTCATTGAGTTTAAATAGGTTATTAATTATTTATGCCTGACAGGGATTGTTTTTCTTTCTTTTTGTCCAAGTAGTGAATAGGTGAACAGGTTAATGACTCTGTTAGGGAGGCAGATTGAAGAAAAGACTTTCACTTGATCTTGTGCAAAGCACAAAAATGTAGCATACATTCAAAATATGTAAGCTTCACTGTTTCCATCTGTTCAATATTCTGTTGTTTGTTTAGATGACCTGTTATGCTGTGTGTACCTGTGTCTGAATCAGCTCGGCCCTGCATATCAGGGTCTGGAGCTGGGCGTTGGGGAGACCGTCCTGATGAAAGCTGTCGCTCAAGCAACTGGTAAATATATTTGTGTTTTCCCTAATGTCATTCACCATTCTCCTTGCCTGACCCCTGTACTGTTAACTTTTGTTACCAGGGCGACAACTGGACAAAATCAAGGCGGAGGCTCAGGAGAAAGGTGACCTGGGATTGGTTGCTGAAAGTTCTCGCAGCAACCAGAGAATGATGTTTGCACCGGCCAATCTGACAGCAGGGGGCGTTTTCAACAAACTGAAAGAGATTGCTAACATGAGTGGAAATTCTGTGAGTACAAATGCAGTAATGACAACAATATTGTGAATGTATTATTACAATTTAATGCAACTGTTTTTAATATTAATATGTTTTCAAATATAATTTATTCCTGTGATGCAAAGCTGATTTTTCAGCATCATTACTCTTCAGTGTCATATGATCCCTCAGAAATCATTCTAATATGCTGATTTGCTGCTCAAATGCTTCTTATTATTAATTTCAAAACTGTTTTGCTGCTTCATATTTTTGGAAATCATAATCATTATTTTTCAGGAGTCTTTTAATAGAAAGTTCAAAAGTACAACATTTATTTCAAGAAAATCTTTTATGACAAATGTTTTAACTGTCACTTTTGATCAATTTAAAAACAAAAAACATTTGAGTGTTCTCAATGAAAATCCACTTCCTCTCTCTCTTGCTCTGTTTCTCTCTCTGTGTTAGGCAATGAATAAGAAGATTGACATTATTAAAGGCTTGTTTGTGGCGTGTCGGTTTTCTGAGGCTCGATACATTGTGCGGTGCGTCATTTTACCTTTCACTTACGACTTTTTAAATTTATCATCTGACCAACCATGCAGAAATGTTGAGTTCATTCTGAAAAATACTGAATAATGAATGTAATTTATAGATGACAGTTGATTTTTGCTAAATCTAAATGATGTGCTGCTGGCCTTGATTATACTGCTGTATGGTGACAGATTAATATGAATATTAATGCGGAAGTGAAATATGTTAGTTTGATTGGTTGCTTGTGTGATTGACAGGTCACTGGCTGGGAAGCTGCGGATCGGATTGGCTGAGCAGAGCATTCTCACGGCTCTCAGTCAGGCTGTGTGTCTGTCGCCCCCGGGCCAAGGTTTGAAATGATCCTAATGAACCTGGCATTAAAAACATCATAATCAGAGCATTGATAGAACCTCCAGGCATTCGACATTTGCAATTAGATTACTCTCTGCCGTGATGAATAAAAAATGAATAACGTTTAAACATGTAAATATTAATTAGGTGTCCATTTAGTTTAGCAGTGCTGAAATGTTACTAATATGTTTTTCTTGTGTTGGCTCAGAGTTCCCACCAGCTGTGCTGAATGCAGGGAAAGGAATGAGTGCAGAAAACAGGAGAGTGTGGCTGGAGGAGAAAGCACTGATCCTAAAACAGACATACTGGTGAGTGTGTGTGTATCTGCAAAACACTGATCAAAAATTCTTAAAAGTACCAATAAAAACATTTATGTATATACAAGTATGTTACAAAATTGTATTAAATTTAATGTTTTTCTTGTGTTGGCTCAGAGTTCCCACCAGCTGTGCTGAATGCAGGGAAAGGAATGAGTGCAGAAAACAGGAGAGTGTGGCTGGAGGAGAAAGCACTGATCCTAAAACAGACATACTGGTGAGTGTGTGTGTATCTGCAAAACACTGATCAAAAATTGTTTAAAAGTACCAATAAAAACATTTATGTATATACAAGTATGTTACAAAATTGTATTAAATTTTAAAAATGTAGTTTTGCCATCACAAAAAATAATGTTTTAAAATGTACAAAAATAATAATACACTGATTTTTCACAAATGTACTTTATTACTGTACTTTTGATCAACTCAATGCACACACACACTCGTTTCACTATTCTTCCTTATCTAGCAATTCATATGTGGGCAGAATTCAACTACTGTAATAATTTCTTAATTAAGCACAGTAAAAAAGTGATAGTTTCATCTACATAAATCACTTTAATAATTTAATTTAAGTTTAAAACTGATTTAGGGGTTTGCATCAATACTCAAAAACATTCACGTAAGTACCTGTGGCTTTTCATTCATTAGTTTTCATATAAAGTTGGGGAAAAACACCATTGTAAATAATATGAGGTAGGGCTGCACGATTAATCGAATTTCTAATCGCGATTACAATTATGGATGCCACAATTACGTAATCGTTCAAAGCGGCAATTAATCGTTCAAAGTCCACTTATGTTATTCTGCGTGCTTAAGATGTGTTTTTTTCTTTCTACATGTTATCTTAAGGGTTTTTCCCATTATTTTAATTTTAGTTTTAGTATAACATTATAATACCATTCATATTTTTACTTTTTTATAATTTAAAGAAGAAACCAATCCGATGTATAGTTGACATTTGAGGCTTAATACTATAGAAAAGCACTAAAAGTTTTTCAGTTAGAGTGTTTTCAGCTTGTTTATTTTCATATAAAAATACGGCATGCAGTTGCATAAAACAATGGTATAAACATCATTCAATGTAAATTGTGATAATCGTAATTAATAATCGCAATTACAATTTCAAGGGAATAATCGGCAATTATGATTTTTGTCATAATCGTGCAGCTCTAATATGTGGTGTTTCGGATAGCCCCAAAAGGCTGAATAATGTTTTTGACTCGTTTAAATGGCTTTGGTCATATTTCTGTTTTTATTTTGCTAATTATGTTTTGTAAAGACCATGTAACCAGACTGGTTTCACCCTCCTTGTCTTGTGACTCAAAGAAAATATTTTAATAGGGTCTCTGGTTTAGAGCTCATTAGCAAAGATTCTGGAAGTCTGTTTCATTACCGCAAAATAGTAGCTGTATAAACTATTGATATGTACAAATGTAATTCTTCCTTGTCCGTTTAGTGAAAAGATATTCATATTGCGATGATTGTATATACATGTAACTACAAGTCCAATCAAAAGGCTGAAAAAATCTAGATTTTTTTATATTCTACCCTATTGGCTAACATACACAGACTGAGCGCAACCTGATTGTCAAACACAAACTGGTGCTGTGAGGGATAATTATCCATATACTACAAACAATATTTCAATTACGACTGCAGGTGTCCACTGCATAACAAGTGCCTGCTTAATGAGTATAATTTGTACCCTGCAGGAAGTCTGATTTTAGCAAATTGGGCAGGTGTTGCCGTTACTATATATCACCTCAATGCATACAAATAATGTTTTCCCTCGTATTGTTCCTCCCAGTGAGATGCCAAATTATGATGCAATCATTCCTGTTTTGATGAAGGAGGGCATAGATGAACTGCCCAATCACTGCAAGCTCACCCCAGGTACAGACCAATCACACCACTTGCTCAGTTCTCCCACCAACAAAAATAAAATTTAGTTTGGAATGAGACTAAACTGCATTGTGTTTTACAGGTGTGCCCCTGCGGCCCATGTTGGCTCACCCGACTAAAGGGGTTGGTGAGGTAATGAAACGTTTCGATGAGGCATCTTTCACCTGCGAGTATAAATATGATGGAGAGAGAGCCCAGGTGTGTGTTGTTTTATTCTTATTCCACAAGGTGGAGCCTCAGCCATAAAAGTGACTTTCTGTTTCCATAGCAATATCGATGATTAAAATGTTAATTGCTTTTTTGTTTTGCATTTAACAGATCCATATTCTTGAGAATGGAGAGGTGCGCATTTTTAGCCGAAACCAAGAAGACAACACAAGCAAATACCCTGATATTATTTCACGAATCCCACAGGTAACACATATGCACCCAGAAAGATGGAAATAAATAGAAATCAGATGGACACAAAAGCAAATCTCTGTGTTTAAACACAGGTGCACACTGTCCAATTTCTTTCCACAATTTGGCTGTCTAATTTCAGGGATAATTAAAGATTCCATCATACGCAAAATTGGCAGTCTGGGATTGCCTAAGCCTCAGTGTGACATGCTCACTGATGCCCAATTAATTGCTTTTGCTAAGAAATCTTAGCCTTAGAGGTTCTGGCAGAGTGGTTATGTTGGTCATGTTTTATGTAAAACATTTTGGGGACGAAGCTTAATATATACTAATATAGAGATTTTTAAAATAATAATTAAAAAAAACTATTAAAAATATTTCAGTAATTAAAATGAAGTATAAATACTGTATGATATGAAAAACTTAAATCAAATATAAATGCTGCTTTGACAACTAACTGAAATAAGTTTGTGTTAAAATTACTAAAACTGAAAAAAAAATGAAAGAAATGTAGAAATAACAAAATAAAAGCTTGTTCGAAATCGGAATAATTACTTTATAGTATATTAAAATAATACTAAAATGGAGCGATCATATATTTCAGAAGTGACACGGACTGGTGACTTCAAACGCCTATGCAATGTGTGTCGCAACTCAAAATGTATCTTGTACAGTCAGGATATTTGATGTTGCACAGTCTGCTTTGGCTTTCACCCAATATCTCACTAATATTGCACATTCTGACAGCTGTTGTACAGTTCTCCCGCAGTGTGCACCTGACTACAGTTTTACCTAAGGCTGGAATACAATACAGGCATTAAGGCTGGAATACAATACAGGACTTTTAAAATCTAAATGACTGAGGATCACACACTACCAGACATTCAAGTCTGGTAGTGACATTCAAGATTCAACAATAAACATGCGCCTCATTGCTAAAAGATGCATGACAAATGAAAATAATGTGTTCTAAAATCACATGATTTTCTGTGAAATGTGTCAACATCTGCTGCTCAATGTCTGCAAATTGACTTTGACTTTTGGCAACCAACGTCAGCTCATCTGGGCAAAAATCTGGACGAAAGTCGTGTGATGTATTCCAGCCTTTGGTAAGAAAAACCACTGCCAGTCAGAACATATGATGTTGAATATGCAGCAATTTTGGGACTCTGTTCAAATGAGATTTCACCGTGGGTGGAGGTTCCCAACATGACACGACTAAAATAGAAAACCAAGCGCCTGATGAAATGTTTGCAGAAACTCAGACTAACTTGGTTGAGATCACACCTGATTTGGATATGCTGTTAGAGTCTTTCTCACAGACTCTCTCTTTCTCTTTGTTTCTGCGAGTCTCTCTGTATCTGTCTCTTTCTCTCTCTTTTTCAAAGGCCATATTTGTCCTCTGTCATCCTGCTCTGTTCTCCTCACAAGAACGCAATAATGGATTCCAGCCCTAAAGCAAAGAAAGCATTTGATGAATGACACAAGCTCACACGCAGATAAATCAATGAAAACGCTGTTGTTTTGCTTATCAGTGTCCATATCCAATCTCAGAACCGTAATATCTCTCTCTGCCTTCTCTTTCTCAGTTGTCTGATATTCAATGCAAAATCTCATTATTGTAGTATCAAATTATTGTACAAGAATCAAAACTGTCTGAGCTGTAAACAAGATGTCATGTGGGGAATTAATAAGTTAACTCGGCAGCAGAATACAGTTGTCAGTCGTGTTTTGGAGTGCTAAATATGGTAACGTTCTTGGTAATGAAAAAGTTTGACTAATGCATTTATATATACAAACTAGCACTTAATTGGATTTATTAAATAATTGAATTTAAATTAAGTTTATTAATTCATACAAATTAAGCTCAATTGACAGTACTTCTTCCATGATGATGATTACCACAAAATTAAATTTCCTCTTATATTTCCTTTTATGAAAAAAAAAAATCAGGGTTACACTGAGGCACTTGCAATTGAAGAGAATGGAGCCAAAACCACAAACATTAAAATACTTTATTAATAATAGTTTCAATAGTACATAACATGATTTTAATGTGAAAAATTTAGGAAGCTTTTGTGTGGAAATCCAATTGTACAATAATGATGAAGTTCCATAAACACTAAAATGACGGTAAAAATGATTTAAACCAATTTACAGCTCAAATAACACACTTTTTTAACAGAAAGAGTTAATTTAGGAGTTATGAGCTTTCCATAAAATTCTGCCAAAAATGGGCCCCAAGCATTAAAGTTGTCTCAACATGGCCTTAAAGGGGTCATATGATGCGATTTCTATTTTTCTTTTCTCTTTGGAGTGTTACAAGCTCTTGGTGCATAAAGAAGATCTGTAAAGTTGCAAAGACTAAAGTCTCAAATCCAAAGAGATATTCTTTATAAAAGTTAAGTCAACCACGCCTACCTAAAACGGCTCGTTCTAACACACCCCCACATGTCTACATCACTATGTGGGAAGATTTGCATAACACCGCCCAAATGTTCACACAAAGAAAGAAGGAGTAACTTTTATTCTCGCTGTAATATTGAAAAGTGAAAAGTGAAAAAGTGAAAAGTGACGTGACATGTGGCCAAGTATGGTGACCCATACTC